TTTGGTGAAGTGTCTGTTCATATCATGTGCTCATTTTTCATTTGGGTTGTTTACATTTATCTTTTTGTAGTACTCTGGTATTTTATAAATTCTAGATATAAGTCTCTTATCAGACATGTCATTGCCAAATATTTTTTTCGCCAGTCTGTGGCTTCCCTTTTTACCCTGTTGGAAAAGGTTTTAGATGTGAATATATATAACAGTAAAACACACAACAGTTCAATAGTTTCTACATGTCCATTCACTGACATTAATTTTGCAAATTGTGCAACCATTCTCATTTCACCTTTCTGAAGTGTTCTTCTCTCATTAATATAAATTCATTGCTTCCTTTCTAATTTTTCTACTTATTGCTGTTATCAATCAGTTTGATCTCATACAGGTAGATCATGAAAGAGTGCAATTTTCAAGGCCGACATTCTTTAATAGCTGATGTTGTTGTTGTTGTTGTTGTTGTTGTTAAGAGCCGGTAAGTATCAAATGTTAAATTTAATTGTTAAGCTAAATTATTTTTTAAGATATAGAGCTTTCAAAATATATAAATGGTATCATAATTTTAAAATAATAAGGGTTCCATTACCCATTAAAGCTTTCTTTAGTGTCAATTTCATAAAACAGTGGGTGTGAGAAGAAAGAGATGATAGCAGTGGCCTGGTGGTTTAAAATATTACATACCGAGCTGACAGTTCCAATTCAAAAACCAATCCCCACAAAGAAGATAGTGTTATGCTACTGTTAAGATTTATAGCCTTAGCACTTCTTTTAGAAAGTTGGAAATGGAAATATAATTTGATCTACAAAATCTTCTGCTAGGAATATATTTCAAGGAAATAAGAGTTATCACAGAAAGAGATACGTAAACATGCTTGTTCAATACAGCATTATTACAATGGCAAAGAGTTAGAAAAAACCCAAGTGTACCTCAAAGGGCAAATTGCAAAATAAACTCACACAACGGGGTAGTATTTGGTGAAGAATTCATGGAACAATGTACAACATCAATGAATCTAGAGAATTCTAGATCATGCTAAAATACGTAAGTCAGTTACAAAAGTACAATTATTAGTCTCCTGGCTGGAACTGGCGGCGAGCGTGGGAACTGAGCATGGAGGGTCAGGATGATCACGGACCCGCAGCTCGCCATCTTCGCCAACATGCTGGGCCTGTTGCCCTTCCTGCTTCTTGTTCTTTACCACCACGTGGCCGTCAGCAATACCAAGAAGCAAGAATGAGAGCGGTGCTTTTTCCTGCCCCTGGGTTCCAAGAAATAGTCTGAGGCAAGATGGAGGGTGTGAAAGGCCTTCACACTTCACTTCATCCTTTCTGACCATCACAACATACAAAGCAACTATACCGGAATTTTCTAAACAACTTTTATTTCCTCAAGGTCTTCCTTAACTCTATGGAACAAGAAAATGCCACTGAAGAGGGCCCGGGATAGGGGCTGATTCTCTTCTACTCCCCCAATATAAAAATATAGATATGTATTTTTTTTTAAAAAGGAAAATTACAATAAAAGATCACTATTTTAAAAAACGAAAGGTTTGCACACAGAATCACATTTTGATGGTTACCAGGAATAGGAAGGGAGAGATAAGAAAGTAAAAATTAACAAATAAATAGATTGAAGGGAAAGAGTATGTAATATTGACTTTATTAGACATTGTAATTGGTTACATTAACTAATTGTAATTAATGTTATAAATAAAATGTATATGAATGATTGGATCAAAATGATGGAGTGGTATTAATAAATTCAGGATTATCCAAACATATCTGTATAGTTATCAAACTGACATCAGTTTTCTCCAGCCTACAAAACTAGTTACTTTATTTAAATTAGAATTCTTCCCACTCTTTTCTTTAGTCATGTAAAGTTAAACTACCTATATACCAGGAGAGGAAATGCGTCTTTCTTAGATTAGCATTTACCTTTGTGAAACTGTTTTTCTCAGTCATATGTAAATTGTCACATGTAAATTGGCCTTGAACCTTAATAAGCAAAGACCGTATGAGCTGTGGAAGCATATCAAGAATATCATCCAGGAAGAACATAGGGGGTCATTACAAAGAGAGAGTAGAAGAAAAGACCAAAATGGATGTTAGAAGAGATGCTGAATATTGCAGTAGAGCATTGAGAAGCCAAAGCAAAAGGAAGAAATCAAAATAATAAGGAGCTGAACAGAAGATTTCAAAGGGCAGAGCGGGAAGACAAAGTAAAGTATTATAATGAAATGTGAATAGAGCTAGAGTCAGAAAATCAAAGGGGCTGAACTCGCTCAGCATTTCTTAAGCTGAAGGAACTTAATAACAAATTCAAGCCTTGGCATGCTGTACTTAAGGATGCTTTGAGCAGAATATTAGATGATCCAGGAAGTATTAAAAGAAGACAGAAAGAGTATACAGAGTCATTGTACCAAAAGGAATTAGCAGATACAGTAGAATTTCATGAAACAATGTATTAGCAAGCACCTGTGGTGATGAAGGAACAAATTGAAGCTGCTCTGAAAGAATTGGCAAAAAACAAGGCCCCAGGAATTGATGGCATACCAACTGATATATTTCAAGAAACAGACTTGGCCCAGGAAGAGCTCAACAAGTTGTGCCAAGAAATCTGGAGGACAACCATCTCCTGACCAACTGACTAGAAGAGATCTGTATTTGTTCCCATTCCAAAGAAAGGTGACCTGAGAGAGTGCAGAAATTATCAAACAATATCATTAATATCACATGCAAGCAAGATCCTGCTGTAAAATATCAAAAAATGACTGGAACAATACATCATCAGAGAATTACCTGAAGTACAGGTTGGGTTTAGAAGAGGCCGTGGTACTATGGATATTATAGCTAATGTTAGATGGATTTTGGCTGAAAGCAGGGAATACCAGAGGAATGTCTATCTATATTTCATTGACTAGACAAAGGCATCAGACTGTGTGGATCACAACAAACTGTGGGTGACTCTGAGAAGAATGGGAACCCCAGAACATTTGATCGTGTTTATGCGGAATCTAAACATGGCAGGAGGCAGTCGTCAGAACAGAGCAAGGGAACACTGAATGCTTCAAAATTGAGAAGAGTGTATGCCAAGGAGGTGTCCTATTTCCATACCTTTTCAATTTATATGTAGAATAGATTATCCAGTAGGTTGTGCTGTATGAGGAGAAATATCATATCAGGATTGGAGGAAGACTCATCAACAGTCTGCGTTATACAGATGACACAACCTTCTTGATGAAACTGAGGAGGACCTGAAGTGCTTGCTGAAGAAAGGCAAGGACTACAGCCTTCGATATGGATTAAAGCTCAGCATCAAAAAAACCAAAGATTCTCACCATTGAGCCAATTGGCAGCATCATGATACATGGTGAAGAAATTGAGATTAACAGCTTTAGTTTGCTTGGCTCCACAATCAACACTCTTGGTACCAGCAGCCGGGAAATTGAAAGACAAATTTCATTGGGAAAGTCTGCTGTCAGAGACCTCTCCAAAGTACAGAAGAGCAACAATGTCATTTTGGAGACTAAGGTGTACCTGATCCAGGCCATAGTCTTTACAATTACTTGCTATGCATCAGAAAGCTGGACAATGACGAGGGATGATAGAAGACAAATTGATGCCTTTGAGCTCCCGTGCTGGAGAAGAGTATTGAATTATCATGGACTGCTAGAAGAACAAACAGATTTGTGACAGAGAAGGTAAGACCAGGCTGTTCCTTGAAGGCAATGATTCTGAAGCTTTGTCTGATGTACTTTAGACATTTTGCAAGGAGGGAACAGTCCTTGAAGAGGAATGTCATACTTAGGAGAGTGGAGGGACATCTCAAGAGAGGAAGGCCCTTGATGAGATGGATTAATTTAGTGACTGGGTTAATGGGGGTAGTTCTGTCAGAGACAATAAGATTGGCATAGGATAGAGCGGAGGTTAGGGATGTTGTACATTGGGTTGCTATGAGTCGCCGGTGACTCAACAGCACATGTATCTTAAACTACCTGTTTACCAGGAAGGGAAATGTGGCTTTCCTAGATTAACATTTACCTTTACAATATTGTTTTCTCAGTCATATTTTCACTATTTTATAAGTTGTTGTTTTTAGGAGCCATTAGGTATGTTAGCTGCTGAAGTAGAATATCTCAGACAAGGGCCTTCCTCCAGAACCAGCAGAGAGGGAAAGCCTTTTCCTAGAGCTGGTACCTGAGACTCAGACATATCTGTCAGTGTGTTGTTTCAGGGAATTGATCTGTATATTGCTACTTATTTTGTAGCTTGGCTATCTGTAATCTTGCTTGTTTATCATTTTTCTAATTAATACAACACTTGTCTGTTTGCTATACTTCTGGGTTGCTGTGATGTGGAAAGCTGTGCCACCAGTGTGTCAAATGTCATAGTGGTCATCCATGGTGGGCAGGAAGAATTAGCTATCTACTTCTGAAATAGTGGTCCTCTGAAAACTCTATGAACAATGTTGCTGTTGTCGTTACATGCCGTTGAGTCACTTGCGACTCATAGCGACCCTATGTACAACAGCCCTAAACTCTGCTTGCTGTGTCCTGTGCCAATCACACTGTCTCTGACACACTCATCCTGATCACCCCAGTCACTGACTACATCCACCTCATAGAGGGTCTTCCCCTCCTGTGCTGTCCCTAGAAGGTAAAATATAGAATAGAAAATTCTATCATTTAAAACCTCATAACACAAAAGGACTAAAATCAGTTTTAACTAAAGAACTACTATTGTACACAAAAAGACAAATTTTAAAATAAGACAAATGAGATTTAAAATTAGATATGAAAACAAAACTAGTAATTGTCGTTAGGTGCCATTGAGTTAAATACGACTCATAGCAACTCTGAAAAATAGATTTAAATCCTGTTTTATCCAGTTCCATCTTCATCAGTGTGACACATTTGAACTCATTGTTCCAATCTCTGTGTCAATCCCTCTGGTGAAGAGTCTTCCTCTTTTTCACCAACCTTCCTGAGTAAAATGTTCCTTTCCAAGGAATAGCCTTTCCTAGAAACATGCAAATAAAAAGTTTAAATTGTTTAATTTATTAAATCCACTTCAAAATATCTACCCAAATCAACTGATCAGATTTCCTGAATATATTTATGTTGAGGTGTACTCAAGAGAAATAAATTATTAACATCTTTAAAATAAATTGTTTAAATAATTTATGCTTTCATGAAATAGAGTTTAATTTAGTCAATAACTATCTTGAATATTTTTTATGTATGTACAGTATCTAATAATATAATGTCAAGTAAAAAAGCAAGGAGCCCTGGTAGAACAGTTGTCAAAAGTTTTGCTCCTAACACAATGTCGGCAATTCAAATACACCAGCTAGTCTGTAGAAGGTGTGATGGTCTGCTCCCTTAAAGACGACTGCCTTGGAAATCCTATGCAGAAGTTCTAATCTTTTTGATTATGTGAGTCACAATAACTCAAGGACACACAAAGACAAAAAGAAGGAGGAAAGCTAAACAATAAAAGCCTTTTCATGGAAGAAATCCTGTAAGATGTTAATAACACCATTTCCCCCCCCATAGCTTCCTTGTAGTTTAGTGCCGAATCTTTGAGCATAACTCTTGCATTAAACTGAATTTTTGTTCTGCCATTTGGGATGCCTGTCAAAAAGAAATGTCTGCCCTTTCCAAGTCCAAAAAGCTAAGGAGTAACAAAGTGCAGGTCCTATCAACCTGGCACACATTTTGCTGCCCATGCAAATAACTATGTAAATTAATGTAATATGCATCAGTGTTTTTGTACATCCAGATGGACTACATCTAGTCTTCCCTGAAAATAGCATTTTGCTGAGAGAAACATCTTGCCCAAATAAAGGTAAACAGATGGTTCAGGTAAAAGATGATTTCTTAGCCAACTAAACTATAAAGTCTTATTAATTAAAGAAGCATCATCCAAGCACTATAGAGAAGCAAAAAATATGGAAAGCAAAACAATGCATATTTAATTTCTACCAGGAAAAGTTGTAGAGATTATTCTAACACATGTTAAAATATTCACTGTTTATTCCATTGGTTGGATTTATTTTTGCTGGGTAAACTTAAGAAATATAGCATGACAATTAAATAGACACAAAAAATACAAAGTATAACCTGTAGTACATACAGAAATGGACCAGCTTTTATTTTCTACTGGCTCCTGTTTTAATTGCAGACAATTTCCAGAACAATATTATTAGACATGAGATTGCTACTATAACAGGACC